GAATTTCTAAGTGATTTTATGCCCAATAGGCATAAAAACTCTTCTATAACAGCACATTTTCTTCATCAGATTCAGCACTTGATAAAAACATCAGTAATCTATACAGATATTAGCTAGATAATTTGGTTATTTCAAATATCACTAAGATTTGATATGAGATCTGTGTTTCATTCAAATTTCCCCCAATTACTAAGAGTATCTGTTACAGGGTACCCTAGCTTGCTTGCTACTTTTAACTACTTGCAAAATACGGATAGGGATTATTTCTTGGTCATAAAAAAAAATCAAATGATATTGGGCTTGCTTAACAGAGCATAGGGTGGGGGTTCATTTACAAAAGAGTAGGTTCCCCCCCCCGCCACTTATCACTGCGCTGGAAAGTCCACAATCAAAAATAGGTCTTGTGACTTCCTGACAGCTTCACAAATGGCGAGAGAGGTGCCATATGGCATTCTCAGCGTGTATATCCTTAGCCCCTCCCCTACATGCAGCTAAAATCAACTTATTGGGTGGAAGGGGTGACTGATTCGCCTCTCAACTCGTTAAGGAGCATGAAAAGGAGGAGTGACTATAACTTGTCAGCATAGTGGTTGGAGGACACTTCCAGGTAACACTCCACTGCTTCCTCCAGGTCTTACATTCTTTCTGCCAACGTCTTCTACAAAAGTCCCTGAGCTTGAAGGGGGTGATAGGTGTGGAATGATCTTCCACCCATTGTGGCAAGGCACAGAACTGTCTGATCTCTGTATCATCTGTTTTCCAAGGGCTATTGGCCCATTTCAGTGGGATTCCAACTACTATAAAGATTTGCTGCTAGGATCCACAAACGAGGGAGAACATTATCATTTCATTAGTGTGTCGTGCACCAAATAATGTTTAAAATTGATGTCATATCCATCCAGAAGTTTCACAGAAAATAAAAATTTGAACACAATAGAATTCGTTCAGTGACAGCACAAGAAAACAATGGAGGCAAATATTGGAATGATTCATCTAAAAACCAACAAATATGTAATGACCAACAGCCATTCCAGGCAGAAGAACCAAGCAGGCCTCCCCGGGAGCCTCCTGAGAGCTAGTACGCTCTGCATCTTCCATTGGAGAGTGTAGACTCCGTGATGGTGTGGGACTGCACTGCCATTGCTTCCAGTTCACATGGTTTATTAGAAGACCCTTGGCAAAGCAGCTGAGTGCTCCTTCAGTCAATATTATTATGTATTATTGCCTCATGCTTCAATGATAAATTCAAAATATAAATTTTTAACCTAAAATTAAGCCATTTTTACACAAATGCATGCTCACATTTCTGAGGGTATTTTTCTGGTTTTTGAGACTCATTGTATTTCCTGAAAAGTTGAAGTGGTGTTTAAGGAAACTATCTTGTTTGTGCAAGAATGTATTATAGCTTTTGTTTGCTACAGAAGTAATACTTTTGCACTTTAAGGTCAACTTGAGAATAGCAGAACAGATTTTCAATAAAATGTCACTTGATGGGTTATTTCCTAACAAGAAGTAAGCGCTTTATCAGATAACACATTTAAAGCACACTGAAAAATAATTTACCCTGTATATGTTATGCCAGTTATCCTATAGTGAGATGTATGCTGTAAAATGCAAATTAATTTTCCTATGGGATTTCTAGTTCTTTTTGGAAACAATTCAATTTGAATTTATTTTGACATGTCATTTATTCATTTTGCCTTAGCAATACTAAATATTCTAAGTGTCCTTCAAAGTTATGACATTTACTGAAAGAGAGACAGAGACAGAGAGACAGAGACAGAGAGAGAGAGAGAGAGAGAGAGAGAGAGAGAGAGAGAGAGGAATATAAAGCCAGTCTTTGTCTAGGAAAAATACAAATGAAACTCTGAAGTCTCTTTCTCTCCAGATCGTGGCCAGTTGTGGCCTTCTATGTGCATCACACAGTTGCACTAGGAAGCTTCACTTGTGAGAGTTGAGGGACACAGTGTATGTTCTAGATACGACTCCTATATTCAACCTCATCTACCCATGGCTCAGGAACCAGTAGAAAAGGGGGCAGAATGATAGTAAGAGCCAGAGTTTCTCCATGAACATAAGAAAACAGAGCCTTTCAGGCCTCTGGGAGCTTGCTCATAAGAACTTGCAGCAATGGTGACAGCATGTACAAGACCCATGCCAACCCTATCAGACAAAAACCCAGCATAGAAGTGGGGAAATGAGCAGCAGTCTTCAATCTTAGCCAAGGTACTATTGGCAACTGATTACTCAGGGGTGAGGAATAGTTGAACTTCTTTAAGGGAGTGACTCTAGGTTAGACTGACTCTAGTGCATAAACTTGTACTGAGGTGTCGGGAGCCATAGGCCCCTACCCCAGGAAATAGCAAGACCTGACTCCTGGCAAATCTGTTTTTCAGACATCAAGGCTGGCCTTGTTTGAGATTAACCAGATGACTATACTTGAAAGCCTCATGAAAACATGTTATTCTAACTCGGGCACTTACCGCTTGAGAGACTCCCTCATTTCTCATGTAATTGCCTAAGAAACTTTTGCTTTACTTTGTAATCATACAAGTGTACCTCTTAATTGATTTATAACTTGCTATATAGAATTGTGGTGTTACTATGGAATTTACTCTGTGATCAATTGGTGTGGTGTAATTGTGATATTCATTCTGTTAATTGAATTGCTCTACTTCAATGGAATTTTCCCTGCCAACTTCCCCCTCTCCTCCCTATAAAAACTTTGTGTGAATGTTCATTAAATGAGACTTGATCAGAAAGCCTGTCTTGTCTCCATTCTTCGCATCCCTTGTCCCTTTCCGTCCCCTCTCCTCCCTCCAGAAACCCACGTTGAGGAATATAAAGCCAGTCTTTGTCTAGGAAAAATACAAATGAAACTCTGAAGTCTCTTTCTCTCCAGATCGTGGCCAGTTGTGGCCTTCTATGTGCATCACACAGTTGCACTAGGAAGCTTCACTTGTGAGAGTTGAGGGACACAGTGTATGTTCTAGATACGACTCCTATATTCAACCTCATCTACCCATGGCTCAGGAACCAGTAGAAAAGGGGGCAGAATGATAGTAAGAGCCAGAGTTTCTCCATGAACATAAGAAAACAGAGCCTTTCAGGCCTCTGGGAGCTTGCTCATAAGAACTTGCAGCAATGGTGACAGCATGTACAAGACCCATGCCAACCCTATCAGACAAAAACCCAGCATAGAAGTGGGGAAATGAGCAGCAGTCTTCAATCTTAGCCAAGGTACTATTGGCAACTGATTACTCAGGGGTGAGGAATAGTTGAACTTCTTTAAGGGAGTGACTCTAGGTTAGACTGACTCTAGTGCATAAACTTGTACTGAGGTGTCGGGAGCCATAGGCCCCTACCCCAGGAAATAGCAAGACCTGACTCCTGGCAAATCTGTTTTTCAGACATCAAGGCTGGCCTTGTTTGAGATTAACCAGATGACTATACTTGAAAGCCTCATGAAAACATGTTATTCTAACTCGGGCACTTACCGCTTGAGAGACTCCCTCATTTCTCATGTAATTGCTAAGAAACTTTGGTATTACTCTGTAATCATACAAGTGTAACCTCTTAATTGATTTATAACTTGCTATATAGAATTGTGGTGTTCCTATGGAATTTACCCTGTGATCAATTGGTGTGGTGTTATTGTGATAATCTTTCTGTTAATTGAATTGCTCTATTTCAATGGATTTGTCCCTGCCAACTTCCCCCTCTCCTCACTATAAAAACTTTGTGTAGATGTTCATTAAATGAGACTTGATCAGAAAGCCTGTCTTGTCTCCATTCTTCGCATCTCCTGTCCCTTTCCATTCCCTCTCCTCCCTCCAGATACCCATGTTGACTGTCCTGCGGGTCGGGACACTGAGGGACAGCTGGGCACAAAAGCTTGACCAGGAGGCTGGAGAGGTGGCTCAGCAGTTAAGAGCACTGACTGCTTTTGCAGAGGACCCAGGTTCAATTCCCAGCATCCACATGGCAGCTACCAACTGTCCTTAACTCCAGTTCCAGGGGAATTCAAAGGCCTCTTCTGACATTCGTGGCATTGCACAACACAGGTGCACTCACGTACATGCAGGCAATACACTCATACACATAAAATAAAAATAATAAAGAAAATATTTTTTAAAAGCTTGACCAGAAAGAACTTAATATATATGGTAGAATGCATGAAATCTGGTGTGTATGGGGGCTATGGGAGGGTATGAATGAGGGAGGGGCTCTAAATATGATTAAGATGTATGAAATGCACAGAAATTCAATAAAAATATACACTGAGAATGAAAATGGAAAGATAATGGAAATATAACAAGAATGCTCTTAATGTTATATGAATTGATGTGCGATGTGTACCTTCTATTCTATCTACAGGTGATCTCTACAGAGTTAACAGATTCTGCACTCACATGAAATTACATAGACAACAAATTATATGCATATTTTATATCTATATCTATCTAGATGAATATAGATAAATATTCCTGATATAAATAGTTGTGATGTTGTGACTCAGATGTTCTTCTGATAAGCCCTGGCCCCGCCTCCTTCCTAGGCTTCACTGGAGGAGTCCAGCACATTAAGGGGCAGGTCTAAGGACAGCCGTGAATTGTCACTGGGAAAGAAGGGTGGAGAATAGCCACCACAATTTAAGAGAGTGGTGAGATGGAGAATTAACAGTGGCCATATTGGAAGGGAGAGAGCCAAGTGTGCACCAGTACAGAGTTGAGACCAGGGAAATGTGTGGCTGCTGGGGCGAACAACAGAGGCATCCTGCAGGACACTCACAGACCGTGGGGTGAGACCACATGCCCATGGAGTGTGGGTGAAAGCTAATGGAGACTGTGGGCGGGGCTTGAATGATGCATGAGTCATGAAAAGCTGTCTCTTTGTAAGTTGCTCCCTCCCTGTCGTATAAACCATGTGAAACCCAAGATAAAAATGTGTTATGCCAGTTTTGTCCATCCGCAGTAGGATCACGAGACCTGAGTGAGTGAGGGCAGATCAAACAGAGTGGGAAAGGGAAAATTTAGTGGAACAGATGTTTAGTGTTTGTTGTCAGCTTGACTAGAATTTATATGAACTGAGAGATACACTTTTGAGTGTGAGAATATTTTCCTGCAAGGACTGAGTGGGAAATATCTTCTCAGATGTGTAAGAAGGCTTGAGGGAAAAGCATTGTTTCTGCCTGCCTGCCTTTGTTCCTTGCTGGTGAGTGCTCGTCCTCCTCCTCCTTCTCCTCCTCCTCCTCCTGCGTCTCCTCTTCCTCCTCCTCCTCCTTCTTCTGATATCCTTCATCGGCTGTGGAACCCAGCTTCTTTGGCCTTCCAATATGGACTAAAGACCAGTGGCTCTCCTGGATTCCTCCAGCTTGAGACTGAAACTGCTGAGAAACCCAGTATTGTGGGCTAAGCAGCAATCAGCTCCTCAACTTCTTCCGAATGCAGGTGGCTATTGTTCAACTACCCAGGCTGCGTCACGTAAGACAATCTAGTAAGTTCCTTCTGAAATATATCCTCATTGTACTGGTTCTTTTACACTAGAGAACTCAAATCATTTTCCCCCAATTTTTTTTTGTATTTAGTTGTTTTTCTGAAGTTCTCTAAATTAGTATAGTATATACCGTATCATATCATATAGTATCATATGGTAAAACTTTCAAAATCTAAAAAGTTCTATTTTCACACAGCATTGTTTTCTGTTATCATAGCATCTTTAAATTCATATAAAGATAAATACATGAGTATATGATGCTGTTCAATGTATTCATTTTCATATGTAGTTTCTCAGTATTAAACCACATAGGAAATGGAAAAACCATTGAGAGATAAATTTAAAGGGAAAAATAGAAAATGCAGTTACTGTGGGCTTATTGATTTTATTGTAGAAGAGCATAGAAAAGCAGCAGATTAGCATACTCTGTCAATATACACAGGTGACTCCTGATGCCATCTTTTGTACAATGTTGATTCTCCTGCTTCTTTTCCCCATTTTAGTTTATTTAGTGCTGTCAAAATTCAAAACTTTCTTGTTTTGTTTGTTTGTTTTGAGAAAGGGTCTCATTATGCAGCCCTGGCTGGCCTAGAACTCACCATGTAGAATCAGGCTAATCTGGAACTCACAGAGTTCTGCCAACCTCTTCCTCCTGAGTGCTGGGGTTAAAGGCATTTACCACCATGCCCAGGAATACTTTCTTATTGTGTGTTCTTTGCTGTTCCAAGGAGTTGGTTACTGATTGAATATTAAGAGAATGTTTAGAAAGTAATAAAAATGCATATAATTTGTGTACATTCAGTCTTGGAGGCTTCTTTAACTCATTTTACAGTATATGGTATGATCAGTGTAGTCAATTATTTTGAGGGTCTTTACTATAAATAATTTATCTCTCTGTTCTTTGCCACAAAGAGTTTTCTCATAAATCCAGACTGAAAGACCATAGCAGAATTAGCTTATTAACAAAAAAAAATTAAGAATTGAATAGTCAAGTGTCCATTTAAACTTGGGAATTAGAACATTTGACCTTACTGAGCATGAAAATAAAGAAAGATGAATCAGTTGTTATCAGTGGCCTTTACTTTGTGTTATATTAGATATTTTCAACACTTAATATCTACAAGTTCAAATATTAACAATATTTTATATATGTTCAAGTAAACAAATTATTTTTGATGTAGAAGTGAAACATTAAATTTCTCTTCTTCCATTTGGTAGCACAAATTCTGCTATTTTCCTTTTTGATGATAACTTTTAGGAATGCTTTCTTTCATATTTGATAGGTAAAAAGTTGGCAGAGAATGAGCGGATGGAGGATGAGGCACCAAGGCAGAGATAAAACCCCATCAAAATAGGGTTTATTAGCAAAGGAACACATGGGACAGGTTCCCTTCCAGGCAGGGAAAATGTCTGCCTGGGTCTTGAGCTGGGGTCTTTTAAAAAGGGAGGCTTCTGCTTCCTGCAGAAGGTGGGAAGATGTATATTTTTTTAAGTTGTGGGGGGAGTGGGAGAGTGGAACTGTTAAAACCTGTCCTCTTTAGAGATCAAAGGGGAAGCCTGCTGTGTTGGCCAAACAGTGGAGAAAAATCTGCTTCTCTTGACTTCAAAGACCAAGGTGCTTATCAGCTAGGTTCCCTTTTCTCAGGAGCTTGAGAAGTCCTTGGGATCCTGTTGGTGAGGGGGCAGGGCTATCTGAACCTTAACAATATTTCTTAACTGAAAGCTCTGTTTATTACCCTTGAGAATAATACTGACAAATTATCACAATGAAAAAGTTCTTTTCAACTTACAGACACTTTAGAAACAGAAATACTATTTAAATTCATATACTTGGGTGGGGGCTGCTGGAGAGATGGCTCAGAAGTTACTAGCACTGACTGCTCTGGCAGAGAACTCAGGTTCAAATCCCATCACCCACATGGCAGCTAACAACTCTCCATAACTTCAGTTCCAGGGAATCCAAGGCCCTCTTCCGACCTCCACAGACATTGCATGACACAAGTGCATTCACATGCATTCAGGCAATACATATACACATAAAATAAAAATAATAAATAAAATATTAAAAAATATATAAATTCATATACTTGGAGTTGATACCATTTTTAATTTAGAATAATTTAAAATGCAAGTCTTTGAAGAAGTTTTCACAGAAATGCACAGTTCTATTCACTTTTCTATTATTACAAATTTTTTCCTTGATAGCATTATTTGAAATAAGAAATTCAACCATAATGACCAGCAGAGCACACTCCCTCTACTGGTGCAGTAGTGGCACTGATATCTGGGGATGTAATCAATTGGACTTGAAGCCTTCTCAGTGGGAATGAAATCATCAGTGGCACTGTAAACAGACAAATACACATGACTGGAGAGGTCATAGATCCTAGAGTAAACCCTGTCTCTATCTCCAGGCAAATAAAATTCCTTACCATATGCTAAATATGGATCCTTATATTTACAGGCATGTACACTGTACACCACTCATCAAAGAAGCTTCTTTTTGCAACAGATGGAGGCTACTGAAAAATCCTACAATGGTCAGACACAGAGAATATACATTTGCGAGATGTCCACTATTAGGTGACATATCTACAGTTGACCCTTTACACCTAAAGCTCATGGTACATAGCGGAACAGGGGGTAGAAAGAAAACTAGTGCATCCCTCAACTCCTACCAGTAAAGCCTCCTTACAAAACACAGTGTAATACAAAAGGTTACAACTGACAAACTTTTAAAGAATAAGAGACTGCAGAACATGTGTCCCTAGATAAAACTTCTATATCAAACCTCTACCACCCATGGCTCAGGGACCATTGTGGAAGAGGTGGCAGAAAGATTGCAAAAGCCTGGGTTGGTCCAAGGACAGGGAAACAGGGGCTTTCGGGCCACCAGAAGCTTGCACGTTTGAACTTATGGCAATGGAGGCATTGCACACAGGATCTATGCCAACTCAATTAGGCAAGGGCCCACAGTGTAGTGAGGGAAAAGGGTGATGGGTTGGCTCTAGGTTGTGAACTACTGGAGACTGATCACTACTGGGTGAGGGAGACTAGGCTTAAAGAGACTGACTAGACTCTAGGGGATGAATTTATACTGAAGGACATCTGAGTACAAATGCTTGACTGGATAAGACTGTTAAAGTCTGGGATCCACAAATGTCCCAAACAGACAGACAGGAGAGTCTGGAGAAAGAAAGAAAGATTTATTACAGCTGAGCTACACGACCAGACTACACTCTTTCCTAGAGGGTCCAAGTACAGCACCCAACCTAAGCACTCTGGCTCTTTTTATATTGATCATGTTGCTAGGCAAGCAAGCAGAATACAGAAGCCAATCATTGAGCATTAAGCTTGAGCAAACATTATCAAGAAAATACATAAGAAAATACAATTTTCCATCCAAACCCCCCACCTTCACGGAACTAGCCTCCTCCTCTTTCATAAACTGACTTTATCAACCTTATTGTTATTCTACTTTGTGTTTACCAGTCACAAAGTTCCCTCTAGGCGGGGTTTGTTGTATAACAATTGTATCTTAGGAAACTCTAAATGTTGTGGGATACTTTTTGTGCAGAGAAACTATAACCAGGAGTGAAAAGTTTAAGTTCCCAAGCTTACAAGTGGAGAGTCCCCTTAATAATTTCTATTCTATTAAGCAACAATTACAATTTTGCAGAAGCAAGCCAAGCATAATCTACAGAAGCCATAATTCAGCAGTTAGCAGGAGCACTCTAGGGCAGTCTGACCCGTTCCCAAGACAACCAGGGTCCAGCTAGCATGTGTTTCCAAACCCTGGGCTAACTGCCTGATAATTTCAGAAACTAGAGTCAGCCTACACTTTAACATGGCATAGCTATGGTCAAGAAGGTGCCCTATTACAGGACTTGTATAGCAGAACACAAGGGGTCTTGTGGGCTGCATGGAAGGGGAGGGGGTCTAAATTTGATTAATAACTCTTGTATGAAATGTACAAACGCTCACTAAAAATGAATTTAACTCAAAAAAAAAAAAGAAAATCTTTAAGATGCCAAAATTAATGATACTGGGTAAGGCTCTGCAACTAAACACTTTATAGCTCTTAAACTATCAAATTCAATAAGTATAGTTTTTAATGCACTGCCTTTAATTGACTCAAGCATTCCTGTCAACAATCGCTACTTTGTGGCTTTCTTGGTAAAACACAACTAAGAAATTTGATGCTTTTTACTTCCTCTACAATAAAACTTACAACAAATTTATTTGATTACTTTTCCAAGTAAAGGATACAGAGCTTTGTCTGATTTAAAGAAATTTTGAAAAAATTCATATAATCATAGAACACCAAAGTTGCATCATGTTTTAGTCATTACTTTAACTTTTAAATTCAAGCATACAATTTACACAAAATAATCTCATTGAAAAATTAAGTACTTCATCTTACACAAAACAGAGAGCTGCAAATTCCATTACATTAAAAGCCACACCCACACATGCAATGTTTTTTATGTTGTTAATTCAGGAACTGAAAGATACATAATCTTAAAAATTACTAACCTCGTACTGCGTTCCCTTTCAGATATTGAATTTCTTCTCATAATATGTAAAATTCTAGAATAAAAACTTACTCTATAATTTTCTTTTTGGGGTACAAAAACATAAGCTTTACAGAAGATTATCTTAAGCTAAACAATGTGATCAGTTTTGATGGGTATTATTTTAATTGTGGTGATTCTGTGACTTGCTTTTACAGATGAGATACTTAAAATTTCAGGAAATAATTTTTCCTGTCATACTTAAACTATGCCAATTCAGTGCAAACTGAGGCTTCATTGTGTCACATAGAGTTGCTTTCTTCCCTCTGCTGAATTAAATCAGTGATCACGCTCTTTGTGTGTATCCTCAAATAGGAATGATTTCTTCTCTAGTGCCTATATTCCAGGAAATAATTTGAGTTTAATATTTTTGTCAATTCCTGATGAAGAAAGACTAAAAACAATAGCATCATAGATTTAACTTTCTAGGCGTCTTGTCTTTCCTGCCAATTAATGCTAGTCCAAAGCTAAAAAGTTTTTCAAATACTGTTAGCTTTTTTGTAAAATAGTTTAAAACATTGCGGAATTCAATTTTTCTCTTCATGTTCTTCTTCTCTATTCATCATTACTAACTGCTTCTAAGACAATGATTGCCTTAGAAACTTTAGCTCCTGTGTGGCCCTCTGCCCAATTTAATATACTCTAATATGTAACATATATATTTTTTTTTCTATAGATTGTGCCTCCAAATGTCCTTTATTGTGGGTCCATCCACTGGAGCCTGGTTAACATACAATCACTTCATTGAAAGAGAATCCCAGCAGGTATCAATCGTCAAATTTTCTTTAGGTTGAGTTAGGATTTATTATCCACTTCCTCGTGTGTATACTGAGATTTTGTCTTGCGTGAGGCTGCATGGAACTTGGGTATGCTGTCACCATTACTTTGAGTTTGTATGAGTATCTGACCAGCTGTCTGGACAGCTATTTGCATGTGGTCATCTACCACTTCTAGCTCTTATAATCTTTCCATCTCCTCTTCTACAATGATCCCTGGACCTTGGGAGTCAAAAGATTGATATCAATATCTTATTTATTGATAAGCACTCTGCAGCCTCTTGTTCTCTGTACATTGACTAGTTGTGAGTTTCTATGTTAATCATGACCTACTGCATAAGAAACTTTTCTGGTGATAGATGAGAGATGCATTAATGCATGGGTATAGCAATAACTCTTTAGGAGTCAGTTTAACACTATAACTATTTAGTAGAAAACTAGTATTAGTCTCTCCTATGTGCCCTGTGACCTCTGAGGCTCCGAAGTCAGCATCAGCTTGATTTCTCCTTGTGTGCTCAGTACCTCAGGTATCTACAGTCTTCACTAATAAGATCTTACCATAAAGTTCTGGTGGATAACCAAGAGTAAGGACAATGATCAGTAGTGTTTGAATGTCTATGGGACCCTGGACAATAGCTTCAAGAGAGAGAAAGAAAGCCTATTCCTGACACTGGGGTTTTATTTTGTTTATCTGTGGAGTCTGGTGGGGGCAATGCTCCCCTGTTATAAAGTAACTGCCTTTTATCTCTTTTTACAATGTATATGTATATACTTTAAGCCACTTCTATAATATAGGTTTCCATGTGACTTTTTTTCAAAGGCCTTTACTATTATCTTTCTCTCTCCTACTCCCTCCTCTGCCCTGCCCTCCCATTCTGCACACCATTTAACCCTTCCTACTCTAATGTTCCTCTTTCCCATTCCATATCACTGCATTCTACCTGCCTCCCAGGAAGCTGCACCCTTACTCCATGGCCATTTACTAGTTTCCTGACTTCCCTGGATTTTCTAATTGAAATATATAT